GTCACTACATTCAGTATTCAAAAGCTAGGTAGCTCTTCAACCATCCATAACCACTAACAGTTAATCTTGGAATGACCTGACATTTATATTTACTTAATACTTGTAATGCTCATTGCCTTGGTCTAACATCAAACACAACTGCATTTTAGACCAGCAGAAGAGCTACACAGATGCACAATCCACTTTGAAAAGATTGTGAATCGAATAAGCCAGGTATGTTGGACTTCTTATAACCATTTGTTTCCACTAATCATCTTTTTTTGTTAATTCAACCAGCCTTCTGTTGTGGCAATCCCAAACCATTAACAGTGAATACTTAAATTACCTGATGGTTAGAAACTCTGCCGGATTAGTTTCAGATTGCCATGGTCGAACTTCAAACACGCCTACATTATAGACCAAAAGAAGGAACTTACCAAAATTAGCAAATAAGCAGAAAGCTTCAGATTCCGATAACGCTATTAAATTGGATCGTAGTGGGCTTCACACATACCGCCTAACCCCTGTACCCATTGCACTTGTGACTTGCCGCCTACAGATCTTGAGTTGCGGATTGATTTCGGGCAGAAGGCGGTCAAATTTGGGTGCTCCCTTTTGCATTCCACCACAAATCTCCGACTTGGCGTAAGAGAGACGACAGTTAGAATCATGAATTCTGGGTTTTGCCAGGAGGAGAGAATTGTGGGTTTCGCCAGGAGGAAAGGAAATGAAGTCTAAGCGGGTGGGTTTTGCCGGGAGGAGAGGATTATGGGTTTTTCCGGATGAGGACACGTGGAGTCGAGGATTGTGGGTTTCAACGGGAGGAGAGCAGGCGGTCGTAGAGGAGGGTGGATTTCACCGGGAGGATAGCAGGCTGAGTCGGGGAGGCAGCGTTGGCGAGCAAACGACGTTACTGAGCAGCGTTGCTCATGTACTGGACATGGAGAGAGGAGGAGCGACGGCCGGCTTGGGTGCTCCCTTTCGCGTCCACCTCCAATCTTCGACTGAGCATAAGAGAGAGATGACAGGGCGGCGAAGTGTTTGGGGGAAGGGATTAAGGGAAGACCCAATGCAGGCCCAAATGAGACGATTAGAATTTAGAAAGCCCATTGGAATGCTTCCAAGAGAAAGTATACCTGGGGTATGGGGAACGATACGCAGAGTTTCATTTAGGCGGTTGGAAGTGATAAAAACGCACCGCTCCATTTATTTGCAAGTAAATTTACATTCCTGTCCTTCCGTGAAACCCTCTGGCTGGAATTTTGAATCCCTGCAAACTCAACCCTTGTTTTGGCTTCATATATCTTATAGATTGGGATCATATTAAACTATTAACCCTAACTACACTATTATTATTATTTTGTGATAAACCCTAGCTAAAATATGAAGTAATGAAAGTAAAATCTTAAATAATTTGAGGAAAATATCAAACAAATATGGGTCAAGAATGGAGTGATATTTCAGGTTGAGGATTTTACCCATATCCGCACTAGCATAAAGAGGTCGGATAAAACAGGTCAGGTCAAAATTGTCATCATACTATCCGGTCAAAAAGTAAATATCCAGTAAGGGCCACGCCGCTAGCAAGGTTGTCAACCCACAACGGGCAGTGGCAAGTCAAAATTCGAACCGGGGGTTGACTTGAATTGTCGTAATTGGGGGAGGGGAGCTAAAAGCTTACCGACTATTCTAATTCCTAAATTTGTAAAAATTTTACATATTATTTTACCTATATTTCAAAATTGAGGGGGGCTAGCTTCAACCTAGCTCCACCATTGAACTTGAGTTGACCCAAACCCGATGAGAAATAGGCGCAACACACCTGCAAGTCGACCATAAAAGGTTCCCTGGTTGGAGCCTTAGAGGTCACATGGTGTCGTTTTTTTCTTTTGATTTCCGAAATGTGTCTCTTTTCGGTTTTCTCGCTCGACTTACCCTATCTTTGAAATTCTAAGTTGAACATTTAAATATTGATGTTATATGAGTGTGTTTGAATTTTCGTTATATGTTCGATCCAATTAGGAATTGTTATTTTGGTTTAAAAATTAGGCAAAATATACTTGTATAACCATAACTTTCACGTTTGTGACAAATATTGCCATAACTATTCGAAAACACAAAATAACCCAAAAATTTGAAAGCAGTGTGACAAATCTAGCCAAATCCATTAGAAACTTTAACGTCATCTGTGACTCTGTTAAATAGTTTGACGGAGCACTCATAGGGACGGAATCTGACCTCCGCATCAACTACACATCAACATACTGTACACGCGGATTGCCACGTCAACAACTAATTTGAAAAAAAAAATTAAAAAGATATAATCATAACAAAAAAAAAATCAACCCTACCTTTCCCCTTCCTCCAACTCACCGGAAATTTTTGCCGCCTCCACACCAGCTATCCAACCCACTCCGATTTTAGCTAAAAAAAACCCACCGGAAAATTTCACCACCGACACCGATTTCACACTCCTCAACGAGCCCGCCATTTTCACCGTATAGCATCAAAGCTCGCGCGCCTCCATACTGCCAGATCCTCACGGACACGCCGTCATCGCGGTCGCCGCTGCATCTCGTCGATGTATTTCCTATCGCTTCCGCCTACTTTGTTTGTTGAGGAGAGAAAGGAGGGATTGAGAAGGTGGGGGAAGCTGACGATTTAGGTTTTTGATTTGGGGGTGGAAGGGTGACAGGAAGAGAATCAGCAAGTGGGGATCGTGAAAGAAAATCGATCCATTCGCTTATCTTCTCGGCTCTTGTTGTCCAGGAAGAGGTAGTCACAGATCTTAGCTTCTATTTGTCGTACACGACGTCGACGCAACTCAGGTGGCCGGGATTGGAGTTCGAAATCTCATGCTCTAGAATTGCCTTCGCTTTTGACTATTGGTCGTCTTCTTTCTAAAGATCTGGAGCCGTCGACGGAAATAAGCTATTGTTTCTGCTGGGTAGTCAAGAAATCAGAACATAGTCGCCGGGATCAGGTGCTCGACGTCGATGAGAGGAGCGAAAGCGAAATTGGGGGAAGAAAAAGGTTGAGCGATGTCGATGTGCAGATTTAGGGATTTAGGGGTCGTTTGCTTGTTGGATTTGAAAAATGAGGGTTTTGGCTCAAAAAAACCTTTGGATTTATGAGGGATTTGTACCATCATGGATTTGAAGAGTCTATTGTTTGCATGATAGATTTGATAATATAATTATGATGGATTTGCTATAAATTATAACTAGCCATCAAGGATTTACAAATCCCACCCCAATATGTGGGATTTACAAGTCTGTGAGGTCCACGAATTTGGATCCAAAAAAGGGAACAAATCCGTGGACCCCACAGATTTAACACCTGACAACAAACAATGGACTTGGCTAAAATCTATCATGTTTGGGATTTGAGTCCCAAATCCATGACCCAAAGTCATCAAGCAAACGCCCCTTAGTGGATTCTTTTGGGAATTGGCCGCCTGTTAAGTGTTAGGTCGTTTTTTTTCCTTTTTCATTTTTGTTTTAAAACTAAATTATGAGGTGAATAATGATTTTTTATATTTTAATTTCTTTTGTAATTCACGTCGGTTCGTTGGGACCATAAATTGCCAACTCAGTATTTTCCGTCAGTCCAGTCAGATTGTTAAGTAACACTGTTAAAGAGATGGACGGAATTGGTTATTTTGTGTTTTTAAATAATTATGGTTATATTTGTCACAAACGTTAAAGTTATGGTTATACAAGTGTATTTTGCATAAATATTATTACTCATATGTAGGGATGACAATGGGTCGGGTTTGGGGCGGATTGTACTAAACCCATCCCCATTTTCAATTATCAAATCCATACCCTCCCCATCCCCATGCGGGGGAGATTTTGCATCCCATCCCCGCGTGTTTCTGATACTCGAGGGTAATCCCCTCCCCATACATCTAATTATGATTATAACTAAATTAACACACTTGAATTCAATAAAACATATAACTATTGGGTTGAAACATCAAACATAATCATTGATGAATCTAATAAAGAACCACTAGTAATCTTAATTAGATCATCCAACTCCTACGAAGTTTCATAAACAAAGTACTAATAAATAATCCAACACCAAATTATTCATCTCCAAAAAACATAAAAATTGCCACATACAACTCCTACATTACATTACAGTAGTTATATTTTATAATATATGACATAAATAATAATGGGTGGATATGGGTATGGGGCGAACACACTCAAATCCATCCTCGTCCCACACCCACAAGCTTCTTTGCCGGTATTACCCGTATCCGCCCCATACCCAATCAATGCGGGGATTCCCCTCGTTGACCGGGTTGGGTAGGGTCGAATACCCGCGGTTATGGCTATAAATGTCATCCCTACTCATATGATAGATGAGATTTGATATAATTTATAAGTATGTAAAAAATATAGGAATTTTTTTCCTATATCCCAGCTAAATCAAGCAAAATTGATTGTAGGGCTGGCTATTTGGACCGGGACCGGATGAAAAACCGGAAACCGGACCTTATAACCCGGACCGAGACCGGACCGGGACCGTATAGTAAACAATCCAATCCAATCTTTGGGCTTAGATTTGAGGTAAAAAACCGGATAAAGACCGGATAAGAGAGCTCAACACCCAAAACTTAAGAGTAATTTGCATAAACGGTCACAAACCTTTACACTTAGTACAAAACTTAACCAACTCCTCACCCTTTTAGGCCTTAGGCCACTCAAATTCCCACAATCTCAATATAAAATCAAAACCGAATTGGGACCGGACCGGGTCAAGACCGGACCGGATCAAGACCGGACTGTATCCAATCCAATCTTCGGTCCTTATATTTTCAAAAAACCCGGACTGGACCGGATCAATTTGGGCCAATTTAACCGGACCGGACCGTATAGCCACCCCTAATTGATTGAACCATTAACCTATTTGTTCGATCGAGCCAACAGCTAAACACCGGTCGCTAGACGGGCGTACGACTTGGACGTGTTTAACCCAATGAAAGTGCACCAGGTCAGCCAAAGCCGGCTACGAAAAGAAACCTTCCTCTGAAAACGCATTTTCCTTTTCTCCGGCTTCCACCTCGGTAAAAACGCCTCATTTTCTCCTCCCGCTCCCCGACTGGGCAAAACCTCTCCATAAATCACGCTCCAGCGCCGCCGGCAGCTGTGCAACAGCGGTGAAGTCACCCCCAACTATTCGGCAGCGCAACGGCAGAATCTACCTCCCGATCCCCTGCTAGAAGACTTGAACAAATTCGGAGATGCATTCCTTTGGATTCAGAGCCAATGCTGTTCTGACGTTTGGGATCACCATCCTCGCGCTCATCTGCGCCATGGCCTCCATCTCTGATAACTTCAATTCTCCCCGTCCGTCTTCCGAAATCCAGGTCGGGCAATATCTCCCTTTGCGATTCGCCCTATCTTGCTGCTGCCCTTTGCTTCTGTTTCACAGCTGGATTTGTTCAATTTGGGTTTCTAAATTCTGGGTTCTGGTTTTGATTTGCAGATATTGAACATCAATTGGTTTCAGAAACAGCCTCACGGGAATGATGAGGTAAGGATTTCAACAGCTGCCTTTGTGTTAGCTTCTGTATTCTGGGTTTTCTGCCTTGATCGTTCATGTTATTGTCGTAGGCTCTCAACTTAAGATGATGAATTGCTTTCTACTGGCTACTTCTTACTGAAGTTTTCAAACTTTGTTTGGGCTTAGGAGTTAGGATATGAGATTAGCTGTTTAGGTGTTAGTCTTGAAGGGTTAGGACTTAGGACCTCTTGTCATTCAAGTTAGCCGCGTGTATTGTTGGATCTAAATCTTGATGTAGGCGGATGGCGCCAAGTGAAGATGCCAGGTGCTTAAGATATTGTGTTGTGGTATTCTCAAGAGGGTTTGGTAATGCTGATATAGGCTAATGGCACGAAGTGAACTTGCCAAGTGCTCCAAATCATGTGTTGTGGTATTCGCGAGCGGGTTTAGTAACTCTGGCTTCGCTTTCCATCTGTTTGTTTGCCCATTGTTGGTTTAGATAGAAGATTTTCAAGTTTGGGATGTAGTTCCTATCTGCCTGTTTAGTCCAATTGATGCAACTGCTGCTATGGTATATTGACTAGTAACATAAGAGTGATGCCTGATTGGCTTGTCATTGATATTTATGGGGAATGTGGAGTGTCGTCCTCAATGAATTTTGTGGCCTATGTAGGATTATGAACCGAGTATTGAAAATACTTGATCTAGTAGAGTTACTCTCAGTGAAATTGGTTCGGCACAACTAGGGGGGACATTTTCTCGTTTAGATACCTTCCACTGTATTTCACATGCTCCCCAATGTTTGCTCTTTCACATAAAATATCCAATTGATTCTGGGGAGATAAAATTTTCTTTCTCGATGCAGGTCAGTCTTACGATGAACATAACAGCAGATCTGCAGTCACTCTTTACATGGAATACAAAGCAGGTTTGTGTTATTCCATACTGCTTGTCTAGTTTCCTAGTAACTTCTTTAAATTGTCATTTCATCTGTAAACTGAAACTGCACGTTTGCATACAGAAGTAAGGCATTTAAATTCGATATAACATTGACCATATGAGCAGATGAATGGATTCCCTATGTATATTCCATTCACTTAGTTGTTTTCTGTTTGCTTCAGAAGTTGAATGTAGGCATACATATTCTGCTGAACTCTTGGTTGTTGGTTTTGATAAAATAGATAGACTACCAGCAGATGTTAGGTTTATGTGCCGAAATTAAGTCATTGTGAAGTATTTTGTTCGGTTTTTGGATCAGGTTTTCGTATTTGTAGCTGCTGAATATGAAACCCCAAAGAACGCATTGAACCAGGTATTTTTGGTTAAAGAATGTGCAATAGCCTCTCGTTTGAATTCAGTTATACATTCAAATTGAGCCTCACATATTTAGAACAAATGATGGTTTATTCTCTTCTCAGTGCAACAAAGTGTTCCACTCATTTGCTATTGGATGTTAATGCACTAGGTTTCACTTTGGGACGCTATAATCCCAGCCAAAGAGCACGCGAAGTTCTGGGTTCAGACAGCGAACAAGTATCGGTTTGTTGATCAGGTAAGAAACGCTAAGTTATTCGTTCTTCTCCTTTTTCCGCTGTCAATGCGTTGTGGACTTCTTGTTACTGAAACCGTCTTCCTCATTCAGGGAAGCAATCTCCGGGGTAAGGATTTCAACCTGACATTGCATTGGCATGTCATGCCCAAGACTGGCAAGATGTTTGCCAACAAGCTAGTCATTCCAGGGTACCGCCTCCCAGAAGAGTACAGATAGAACTTCCCCCCTAGTTTTTAGCGAACTGAGAGTTGATACACATTGTCGGCTGGTTCAATTCTTTGATGTTTTCATGGCCAGTTTATAGTTTCTGAACTTGACAAACTACAGTATTAGTCCCAAGCTGGGCAATCTTTCTCCGGATCAGTCAGCTGGTTTGAAAAGCAAGAGAAATGGCCATGTTCACTCAGGCTGCTTAACGTTGAAAGTTAACGATCTTGGCACTTTATGGCTCTGGAAAGTGAAATCTTTTAAGGGGTTAAGGGGTTAATTGCATGGTTGGTCACTGATATTATAAAAATTATTCATGTTTGGTCACTGAAAATATTTAGGATAATGTCTATTTTTTATTCAAAACTATTAAAATGTTATTAATTAGTCAAATCTTTTGTAATGCATCAAAATATTAGACATTTTTATGTTATTATTAATACTTTTGTAACTCTTTTCTTAGTAAAAATACTAAAATTTTGGAATGATGGCATTCATGTGTCTTTTTTAAATCAATATCATGTTGTCATATCAATATTACTAACAAAATTGTTAACTGAAAGTTAACATTTGGTTAATTCTTAGTATTTCGATAGGTTTGACTAATAAAAAAGATTTATTTTTGTATAAAAAATAGACATTACCCAAATATTTAAATCCATTGGTAGTCACTAACTTTAGTGAAAACGTTCATGTTTGGTCACTCTCAGTTAGACGTCGTCGATCTCCGTTAACAAAGTCCTTTAAGTGTTGATGTAGCGAATGTAATCGTCTAATCAATCCTATTTAACCAGGAAATAGTGAGACCCGACTTGCCACGTCACTAAGGTCTGCCATGTCATATGGAACAACCCAACCCCCTAACCAGACCCGACCTGTGAACCAGGGCTCCAAGTACTTGCCCTCATCTGGGAACTCCCTGACCGCCGATGTGCCCTCTCAAAACCCCGCGTCGCTCAGGTCCCCTTCATGACCGCCCGCATCTTCAGTTCTAACTTCACCTACTCTTTCCCAGTCGGTTCCGACCACAAATTCCTCCGCCTCTACTTCTACCCAACTTCCTATGACAACAATCTCAACTTTACCGATGCACTTTTCTCCGTCTCCGCCTGCGGGTTCACTCTGCTCAACAACTTTAGCGCCGCCCAGACTGCATGGGCTCTCAATTGGGGATGTCATCGCGAAGGAATACTCCATCAACGTCGACGCCAGATCTCTTAATGTAACATTCTCCCCCTCCTCGACTTCTTCTAGATCTTTTGCGTTTGTGAATGGAGACCCCAATGGAGCTTTGCCCATCATAGGACAGAGCAGTACTTATGCCATCGACAATTCATCGGCCTTGGAGAATGATTATCGCTTGAATATATTTTATTTATAGAAATATCGCTCGAATGTTGGCGGCAACGATATTTCGCCACCGGTCGATGCTAGGATGCTTCGGTCGTGGAGCGATGATAAGCTTTACATCTACGGTGCAACAATTGGAGTTCCAGAGTCTGTGAACCCTGGGACGAGCCTGAAATTCCCTTCCGACACCCATTCCTACATCGCCTCTAAAAATCTCTACCTCACGGCCAGATCCATGGGTCCAGTGTCACAAGTCAATCTGAATTACAACTTGACCTGGATTTTCACCCCGATCTCGGTCCGGTTTATGGCGTTTATGAGGGGGAGAGGAAGAAAGTCGGGAGGAAGGAGGGACGATCGAAGAAGGGGATAAGTGGATTTGTTTTAGATTTAGGGATTTAATTTGTGTGGGTCAGTTCACAGGTCGGGTCTGGTTAGGAGGTTGGGTTGGTCCAGATGACGTGGCGAGCATTAATGACGTGGCCGGTTGGGCTTCCTATTTTCGGGTTAAATAGGGCTTATTAGATAGTTCCGTCCGCCACGTAAGCACTTAACGGACTCTGTAAACGAAGATGGACGATGACTAACGAAGAGTGACCAAACGTGAATGTTTTCACTAAAGTTAGTGATGGATTTAAATATTTCGAATGATCAAACATGGCCATTTTTCAAGTGGCCAACCATGCAATTAACCCAATCTTTAAGCATAGGTTTAATCAAACTCTTCCCTTTCTCTTAAGATTGTTGAGGAATTTACCTTCTTCTCATCAGAAACTCGCACGAGGAAGGAGCCAGAATCAAACCTTCCATCTTCTTGACTTCGATCTACCGAACAATTATTCACCTGCCCAATAGGAAAAGCCTCGAATTCACACAATTCTACCAAGTCAATCCTACAGTCGGACAAACCCTACTCCGAGAAGAATACAATCCCTTATTATTCTTGGTAATACAAGTGATCTTTGTATGAATACAAAATTTATTGAGTTCTTGTAGTTTAGAATATTTATTATATTATTTATCATGCGCACCAAAGCGAAAAGTATAAGTGACATGTTGGGGATCAAACAAACACGCAACCTGGGGCGCTACTTGGGTGTTCCGATTATCCATCCAGAGTCACTAAAGATTCCTACAAGTTCATCTTGGAGAAGATTGATCAACGACTTTCAGGATGGAAGGCGAGGAGTCTCTCCCTGGCAGGAAGAGTTACCTTAGCGACGTAGGTGCTTAACGCCCTTCCGAACTATGTCATGCAAACGGCGGTTCTGCCTATCTCTGTCTGCGACACCATTGATAGGAAAGTGAGAGCTTTTATCTGGGGAGCAAAAGACGGAGTCTCCAAGACTCACTTGGTCAAATGGGAAACCATTTGTAAACCAAAGGAGCTTGGCGGCCTAGGCATGCTATCTACAAGAGCTCTCAACTTATCCTACCTTATGAAGCTGGGGTGGGCTTTCCTGAACAAGTCAGACGTGTTTTGGATCTGCATCGTGCAAGGGAAGTATTTCAAAGTCAACGAGGCAGGGGCTCTGATAATGAAGAAAAGCAACTTCTCGCGGCTTTGGAAAGGAATTGTCGGTACTTGGCCAATCCTCAAGCAGTTGGTCGTGTGGGACATTCGGGAAGGTCACAATGTCCAATTTTGGAAGATCCTTGGCTAGCCGGGGGAACTATCCTGAGCGAGCATATCACAGGCAATGGCGAGGGAATCAACTGGCATGCCACCGTAGCCGAGATGGTCACCAATGAAGGTGAGTGGAAGTGGCAGGATTTCGCGCCGCACCTGACTCAGAATTTGTTTGCCCTGGTTGCAAGTACGGACCCTCCCATGCCGGGATCGGGTGAAGACATTACAGCTTGGGGTATGGAGCCTGACGAAAAGTTCAAGCTGCATTCGGCTTATTCAGCGCAGTAGAGTGGCTGAGCGACGAGGAGCGTGAGACGGAGGAGGCAAACGACCACCATCACTGGAAGCGACTCTGGAAATGGGCGGGCCTGAACCGGATTAAACATTTCCTGTGGTTGGTTTTTCATGACAGGCTGATGACGAATGCACAACGCAAGAAGAGAAAACTGACGACGGACATTACATGCCCGACGTGCAGAAACAGACCGGAAACCACCGAACACATATTGCGCCAGTGTCTGAGCTCCATACAGGTATGGCGTAGGCTGGGTATTCAGGAGACTGTACTAACTTACGGCCTTGGGTTTGCGAACACCTTAAGAGGGATCAGGAAGGGCTTCTATTTGGCGTGGCAGCTTGGTATCTATGGAAAAGACGGAATGAGAAGGTCTTCCACAACTTGACTCAAGATGATCATGTCATGGCGCAACGTATCGGATGCTGGACGTCAACTATCAGGCAAGCTCAGGAAAATGACACGGCTTCGCATAAAGATGCGCCCAAGAAGACAGCACAGCGGCTCGCCTGGATACCGCCACCATATGATTGGATGTGTGTCAATACCGACGGTTCAGTGAAGCAACCAGGATCGGAAGCAACAGGAGGTGGCCTTGTCCGGGACTGGACGGGAAAATGTATGGGAGCTTTTGTGGAAAACCTCGGCATGTGCACAATTACCCGAGCAGAGATCATGCTGCCATTCGAGGCCTACAAATGGCGTGGGAGAAAGGGTACAGGAAAGTCCTCCTCCAATTGGACTCCACTACATCCATCAGCATCATTACCTCCCAAGATACGACGGAGCACAGGTTCCATAATCTGGTTCTACAGTTTCAGGGGCTGCTACAGCAGAACTGGGAAGTCAGAATTTCTCAAATTTATAGAGAAGGAAACAAAGTGGCAGATTTTCTTGCCAATAAAAGCCACTCTGTTAGTATAGGATACCATGTTTTTGCGAGTACAGACTCGGGTCTGTCCTTCTGGATTTTGTATGACGTTTTGGAAATCTTCCAAACCCGTTTAATTTAAGTATCAGGCAGGGGCGCCCTTTTAGCGTTTCAATTTTTTTTAAGGTGAAAAGTAATCTATTGATTTAAAGTTTGCTAAATTCGTTATATAATATTTAGACTGAATTGGACAGACCGTTTTAATGGATGGATCGCCCGATATCTAGAATCGTGTAAACAAACGAGGTTAATGTTAGACACGCGTTATTCAAAGTATAATTTGACCTTGGAATACTTACATGTATTATGCTTCAATTAGTGGGCACGTTTTACTAATTATTCTTGCAATCACACCTAACTAAACTTTGGTTTCTGAGCACAATTCCGAGACGGTTAAAAACTACTCAAGAAGGGCATTGAAAAACACGCAATTTGGTTTGGAGGAGAAGGAACATATCGACAGAAAAGTTCCTCAAAAGAAGTTTAGAGGTTGAGTTATTTTAATTGGTCAATAACCTGAAGGCTAAAGGGTCACTAACAATTAACAAATAGGTCTCTAAACTTCTATAGTTTGTTACTTAAGTTTGAGTGATAGTCACTTCATCCATATTCATTTTTTTTGTCCAAATTGTCTAAATGCTCATTTCAGTTTAATAGGCTATTAACTATTTACCGAACAAGAATAGGAAAAGGAAATATCATTATACAACATGGTTGTAATGATAAATGAAGCTCACTATTGACTATATCATATTGAAAGTTTGGTATCAGTATTTGAGATATACAAACTATTGTACCGAATTTATCATTGTTTCGTATTATCGAATATTGAGTTATCTTTTAGTGATTTATATTGAGATTGATTTTGTTGTGTTATTCAGTATTCGAAATTATGAGATTGAGATCGGTATATATGAGATCTGAAATTTATAGTTAATTAAATATAACCCATGGCATCTAGTCATTTCTCACACTTTGACAACTTGAAAGCCCCCATCTAATTCAAATTTAGCTTCCAAATTTTCCTAAGTCACTCTCGTCTCTTGATCCATCTCTTGTTATTCATAACACCAAAAAGCGGGCACTCTCATTATTGTTTCCCAGCCTCCACTCCATTGAATCAAAGATTACCAAGAGCAAGAAATTGAG